TTTTACATTATTTGCTCCACTACTCCGGATCTTGCGCCTCGATCAGAAGCGGTATCGAATTCAGCTTCCGCGGTTCGAAACGCGGTCCGAAAGTCGGGCAAAGAACCGCCTGGCCCGGACGGCCGGCCGGTCTCGGCTTCTACGATTTCGCATAGCGCGAACGTTTGCGAACGCGACGCGAGCGCAGATAAGCCGCGTATCGAATAACGCTCGACAGCTGCATATATTTTAACAGCTGATGACGCTGTGAAACGCACCAGCTCGGTCGGCTATAATGCATTAGCGAGAACGCGGTGGCCCGCGAAACGAAGAGAAGCGAGGCTCTCGCTTCCCGCTCCGTCCGATTCGATTACCTGTGTCGTTATTGCTAAATTAACTTCAAGACCTCTTCGGCAGCACGTATATCTTCGATCGTCGGGCAACGCGATCCGCGGCTAGCGCTGTTTGTTAGTACTGCATTTGCATGCCGAATTCATTCGCGCGTGATTTCTAACTCGTTCCATCAGGATTTACGCACTATGACACCGCAGCTACCGAGATTAATTGAATCGTCCTCCCCTCGCCCCCTTCCTCTCCTCCTTGCGGCCGTCCTCGCCGTATAATGCTTTCAAACGCTGCTAAAGACGCGGAATTTCCCTATCGATACGCGCGAGCTCATTTATTGACACTACTGTTAATTAAATTTGATAGCTTGTGTGCGTATATCGCGCCGCCGCGCGTTCGTAACGCTACTTAAGCCTATCCGCACCTCTGTAGGTATACACACACCGCGGGAAAGTGAGCGGGAAGCGAGACTTATGGCGGTTAATTAATCGCAGAAGGCAATCTTGATTGCGCCAAATTAGTATGTGTCACATACGGCGTGATGGATATTTTGACGCTGGAATTAAAGCCGTCAGGGAATCCCATGCCGCCATGCCGTGTATTACTTCGCCGCGATTCGAAGAAGCAATTAAGTAATGGAGTTACCACGAGTAATGTGTGGCGAACGTACTATTACATTCGCATGCATAAATCACGCGTTATAAGTACGTTACCTCGAACGCGCGGAATCGGATAGCAAAATAAGGGGATATATCAAAACCGATATTTTTTTTTTACCGGTGATAAGGAAGCGGTTATTTTCAATGTAAAACGCGTGATAGAAACTAACAGTACATTTTAATCATATATTCCGGTAGAGTTATTAAAATAAAATTAACGAAGTAATGATACTGACGATAAGGCTTGCAAAAAAGGTGCCTCGTGATTTTTCACTCGCAAATAAACCTACACTTGCCTTGCGATTTCCAGGATGGACAGGTTTACGTAAATTGCACAGAATATCAGGTTTCAGAGATTAACTGGCGACATGTGTGTAATTTTTGTTTCGAGTATTTACTTTTATAAACCGAGTCGTGTGGAAAGTGATAAATTAAAAGATAATTATGTCTATCATCAGTTATAATATATGTATAATATAAAACTCATAGTTTGATACGATTTGACGCTATTATTTTCCATATATGAATTCACTCTTAAATGAAGAACGTACTTTCCGCCGCGTGTATTTTTTTTTCTCACGTGAAGATTTTTCTCACCTGCACACGCTCGCCATCCTGTCAGAATACTGGCGGAATTGAAGGAATTTCTAAGAAAACGTGGATAAATCAGCGCGTGTAAATGTGTACGTAGAATAAATTCCTACTACAACGTACAATCTCGCGTCTCTTGCTTTTATGGTGATCGGAGCTAAAAAAAACCGGGACAAGATGGTTGTCAGGAGCTATCGAGAGCGGTTGACCGTTTTCGTTGGAATCCTCGATCAGAATTCTTCGAGAAAAACCGCAATTCACAATAGATATCTTTGTTTGAACCTCCCTCGGACATTGGAGGCTACATATTAATCTTCCGTAATTTACTCTTTCTTTCTCTCTTTCTGTTCATGCAATGGTTTCTTTATTTAATTTTTCAAAAATATATATACTACAGGGGACAGTGTTATTAATAACATTAATGTAATATTAATATTATTTAATTAAAATAAAGTTATATTTAATTAATATTATTATTATTTTAATTAATACGATTCTATTTCAATTATGAGTAATATTTTTAAGACTTAACGACAACCAGTGCGACACCCAAGTTCATAATCTGCTTCATTAAACATGCTGTTAATTAAAATTAATATAGATACTGTTAATTAATTAATTCGAAATAAACAAAGGAAGCCGCTTAAATCGCAGTTTGTCAAGAACAATCTAATAATAAAACGAACGTTGTCGATATGTAAAGCAGACCTGTATACGTGAACACGCACAAATTCCACCGCGTCGCGTGTATACGCATTCGAATATATATTTTGATACCAGATTTGATATTTCGTGGAAATGTTTCAACGGGACTCTCGGTGACGTTAACAGCTCCAACGTGGTCGTCGACACTTTTCGAACGCATTCGATTCGCGTGAAAATTTCGCGGTATCGCGCAAGCGCGAGGATCGAGTCATAGCAACACCGGCGGCCGCGCGGTCCGCGGCGATAAAACCGGCAAATTCTGTACACACGCGCGGACGGAATATACCATACGATAATGCGAATATAATGACGATGTTGCGGGCGCGGGTTAACAGCCCGCGCCTCGTCGTCGTTGGCTTCGTTTCGCGTCCGCGACCGTGTGTTTTATATACACACGCGGTCGCAATTCGATACGGAACTGTCTTGGACCGTTTTTTTTTTTTCGTGCGTTGATACATGCAAATTGGTAAAACGTGACTTTTGCGACCGCGGCGGTGACACGCGCGGGATTTCTCGATGTGTTTTATGATTCATGAGTTATAATTGCATGAAACGATTGAAAAAAATCTAGAACAGAGTCACGATGTTCGGTGATTTAATTTACTTCAGTTAATTATTAATTTTCTTAGCTTATTTAAATTTAATTATTAATTTACTCCAAACTTTGCTATCTCCGTAATACTGAGATATTATTTGAAATATGGCATACTAAGATGCAACGTGACTATTATTAACACGTTGAAATATTTCAGATTATTTTTTTTTCTTTTGTACTTATAAACGATTTTTGCGTGCATGTAACCGTGATGTGACATACGCCGACGAACGAGTCTTATTTTCTAACGCAATGAAATATATGTATTAATGAATAATTTATTGTCTGATGATATCGATCGGGACTCATCATATCTATCTTTGGCATTGCAAACGCATTTTGTTGAATGTTACAACTTGGAAGGATTCATATTTAATTCAACGATTCAAAAAGGCATTACTGCTCGCCGTCATTTGCTTTTTCGCAAACGGATTGGTTTTTTTAGACAAGAATATTTCCATCGAGCATACGTCGTCGTCAAGTACGTGCGAAGGTGAACGCAAATCGTCTGCAGTTATTTGCGATACGAATGCAACGCCGTCGAGTCGTTAAACATCGTACCGGCGTATTAAAAAAGCATCAAAGAAATGCATAATCGAGAACGAAAATAGGTGTGAAAACAGCTGCTTAACAGGCAATAACAACCCACTAAACAAACGTGCACGTTTACGCTAATTAGCGTCCGTGTTTTGTAAGAGATATTAATTCCCGGCAGGCAGACGGTCGCGCTCTGATTTTGCAGAGATGCGAAAATTCGCCGGTTGAGTAACGAGAGTAGGCGAGAAAGTCCTGGCTCGAGCGTTTCATTTCGCGTGCTCCAGTTTGCGAACACCCCGTATATATCATGCACACGTAAGATCCGCCGCGAACGAGCGGCGGCGATGGCGGTGGCGGTGGCAGCGCGAGCAACGGGTCTTCTTCCTCGTAAACACTCGAAGCCGGAACTCGCAATAACAGCCGCATACCACGCATACCGTGTTCAGCAAAAATTACCGAAGGCTGTCGTGCTTTTTTTTTCTTCTCTTTCCTTTTTCGTTTCCTTGTACGAATCGGCGCGCGTGCGTACCGAGCCGTCCCCATATACGTGACTTTCTCGGCGTTTGCATGACGTATCCGTATTCCGTATAGTTACCGCGCCGCGCGAGGGGAATGAGCCGACAATTTGAGATTATACTTACTGTGCATTTCGCAACGGCGTTACGTCGACGGAACAGGGGACGGAACGTCGTCGGACGTGCGTGTATAACGCGGCGTAATCGGCGCCGAGCCGGCATTGCCGTGGATTAGCTGCGACAGCGTGTTACACCTATAAGACGAGTCGCGCGTTTCCGATCCGAACGATCACGAGGAAGCGATCGTTCGGCAATTAGCTTTGCCAGTCGCGAGGGAAAGTTCCGGGATACGTTCAAAATTTCGCACTTTCTCCGCGCGATGTTGCGCGAATACCTCCGCGTATACGCACACGGAACGCCGTTGGGAATTCAATCCCCGAAACTTTCGATACGACCGCAACTGCGTTTCGTAGGCGGGCCGCGCTTACGAAAAACTTTCGGATGGAAGATACCACGCCACGGGGACGGGACAACACTACGTGCGTCGTTTTATTCGTCGGCGTTTTGGTGTGGAGCGCAAGAGAGTCCTCCTCGTGCGTGCGTAAGCTTTGTGCGGCGTTCTTAAGGTTTCTCACAGGTCGCAAGAGAATCACTTAGAAATCCTATACGGGTCTCATACTGCGATCCTTGCGTTTGTATAACTAGCTCTTTGTCCCATTGAAAGCTATGCGAAATCTCCTCGCGGGGTTTCCGTAGAAAGTAATTTGCTCATTACTACTGTTAAATTTCAATTAACGAACCGACGCGCACTTGCCGCACGAAAGAGAAATAAAAAGAGAATGTGTATAAATGTGTTTGATACATATCTACTTTTATATATACAATTTTCTCATTACGTCATCATCACATATTAATTTTTGCGAAGTTTCGAGAAACACGCGCAGCATATGCAAACTCTCGCTTTCCGAGTTTGGAAACATTGCGCGAGAGAACACGTGGAAACGGCACTGAAAATCATGAAGGATCATGAAGGACCGAATTAAGATTGATATACCTTTTTTCTTTTTGTTACAGGGTACTATGAGCCTAACCAAACGTATTGACGAGATCAGGTTGCTCGAATCACGTAAGAGCGCACGACTCGCCGATCAAGACACGGATTTCGCCAGGCTCGCCGATATGGCCGGCGATCGCAAGCGGGCGTCCTCCCACTCTATCGACGTGCCACACGTGATGGCGTAAGTTTCTCCTCTTCTTTTCCTATTGCTGTCGCTTATCTGGAATGCCTTTACATCCGGGGCAGCAGATAAGGTCGAAAGTAACTGCCGCCGATTGACAGTAAACTTGCGCCCCAGACAAGCGGAATCGTCCCTTTAAACGTCATTTGAAAGCAAAATACAGTTTACGCAGCGGCGCGACTCTTACTCTTGACTTGATTATGCAAATCTCATGCACCTTCCCCGTGAAAGTTATTGAAGCGTTTCTCGCGTTACGTTTTGAATTTTTAATTTTCGCATCGTACGTATAATATCGTAATTTGACATACATAACTCCAGAGATATTGCCTCGATATCGTGCAAGCGTATCGTGAAATTCTCGAAATGAAATCGAAAAATTATTCATACGTTTAATTCAGTTATTGTGTGATCGAATGTATCCTTCGCTCTATTTAGATAATATTTTTCATTTCCTTGTGCAATAAGACATAAATTTCCTAGATCGACCTGCTGCCCCTTTCCCATCCAACTCCACAAGCGTGAATTCAACCTACGGCAACATCTCCATATTATATCGTAATGCATTCTTTTAAGACCCCTCCTCCTTTGTAATTGAAGATTCGAAGCGACGTGAGTACAATTTTTCTTCAGTATACATCCAATTTCGCGTTAGAGCTTAGTCGATTGTCGGTTAATTTTTTAAAACGGTACAAAAATAATGATACACCTAAGGCGGAAAGGAAATGGAAATGCAATCAAAGATAGTGCACACGTGCAACTCCTCTCTAACAGAATTGTATAATATAAGTAAATTATTTGCCGGACGGCTCGTAGCACCGCCGTTTGCTGCCACACGGACGCCTTATATGTCAAAGGTATTCTAACAATCCGGCATATACCGAAGGTCATTGCCAGATACGACGCGCTGACAAGACCTTCGGTGCGCGAGATTATTAGAATAGCTTTTCTCCACGTCAGGCTTCTTTCTCTCGTCGCGTAACGCTGACAGGTACAGGTCGACAGGCAGTACAGGACGTGCAGGTCTGTACATATTTTTCCCCCCACGCGCGTAAATTTGATGTATATATAGCCGTGTGTCCTGAAGATCGGACACATTCGATGCTAAAGATAAAAAGCTGAGCATCCGCGTGATGTATAAAGCAAGAACGAAGGAGCGTCCGTTTGCGGATCGTTAGACCGTGAATGCACCCTCGCCGGGCACCTGTCTCTCACCTTTATATACCGGCACGCAACTCCCCCCAGAACACTTTACGCCTCACCCCCGTTGAATGTCAGTGAATATTCGCGCTCTAGGGGCGCGCGCGCGCGCGCGCGCTGCGTGAGGAATAGCCGGCGGGTATTTTAGTGAAAAAATAAAACGCGCAACAATGCCTTCGTGATTGCAATTTCCTGCCTGAAAGTCCTACTCCAATCGTACAATGCTTTGTGCTATACCAGTTAAGTGCTATGAATATATACTGTATGTACATTCACGTTACAATTCTATGATAATCTGATTTTTATACGTTATTATTTCGCGAGATACTTAAATCAATACAGTATAAAAAATTGTATTGTTGCATATAATTAGAATAGGATTTCTAAAAATAGGCAATACGTATTGAACAATCTTAATTTATTCATAGTTTAGTATCTACTTCGTAATACATCGTAATTTCATATTCATGAATGAATGGAGTAACGGATATTCTGTGCTGATAATATTGCACATTATTTTTATATATCGCTGCACTTGAACTGTTTTTATATTTAATTCATTCAAACCTCGCCTTTGCGAGATCCGCTTATAAGATTACGCGATTGAAAAACAATGAAGTTTCTCGTTCCGCCTGTACTCTTATATGTGGCGAGCCGTCTGAAGCCAGCGTCCCGCGATCCCCATCATTTGAGACGAAATTTTCATGCTGTCTCCCTTCCTCTCTTTATCGCCGTTTCTCTGAAAAGGATAGAATACGGTCGTAGCCTGGCAGGGCGACGAACTCGAAGGTTAATGACTCCCCTCGACTTTTTTTAGTATGGGCAAAGTCGGTCCTTGACCCGGGGTTCCTCTTGCAAAGGACATACGAGAAGATTCCGTCTGGCCGGGCCCGTACCGAGACCGTAGTTTGTCCGCAGGTAGAAAAATGCTGGGTGCTTTTTGGTAGAGCGTGGCGCGCCTTACACCTGGACCCAGCACGACCTGCCCCACGTGAAAGGAAAGGTCGTCGAAGAGAAATCGAATGCCTTTCGAAGCGCGATGGTATCGGCGACGAAAGCGTGCGCGAATCCGGGCTACCGTTTAGCAAGACCTTGTATCGCGTCCAAGGTTTCGACACGCCGTTAGAATTAATCCGACGATTGTACGAACTTTAGACAGATATACGTAACGGTTCAAGAAATTTTTCCGTGATTCGCGATGACATTGAAGTTATGTCTGAATATTCATCGAAAAGAGTGCAGCGGGACTTAAAGTTTCGATTTATTCGAATGTTTTCTCGCAAAAAGTAAATAATGCAGTACGAGTGAAGCGGGATATATTTTTGATATACTTGTTGTATTACGGCGTTCTAGTATAAAGAAGTTGGTTCTTTACGGAGCTCGCTCGATTCTCTCGAACGATGGCCCAGGGAGTTGGAAAACCCGGTTCACGTAAGCGACTAGCGCCGAGGTATTTCTCCTTACGTCGTCGAGAGGCACCGTTTATTCTTTCTACCTTTCACACGCAACCGTGCACGCCACATGGTGCAACGTGAGTATACTTGCGCGTGCGGGTTCGCGATAATTGATGCCGGCAAATTGAGCAACGTAGCAACACTCTTCCCCCCCCCCNC